TTCATCATGACAACACCGCAAATAGGGGAATACGTGATAGTGACATTATAGTGAGAGGGAAATGGGATTTGTTGGACAAGCAAATACGGCAATTTCTCGTGTTTTTGGTGATAACAAGTGATAATCGTGATATTAGTAAACTGTTAGTCGGTCTGAATTTTCCCAACCTGTACTGTTTGCACGATTGTAAACAGGGACCAGTGGCGTGAGTTGTTTTGAATATACTGGGTGTCCCAAAAGTAATGGCACAAAACAAAATGGTGGATTCCTGGTTTGAAAATATGATGATTTAACACAACTTACCTTAGTCCGAAAGTTGAGAGTTGCCGACATACAGGGCGTCAAAGTTATATTTTAATTTCAGCTTTTCGTTATTCTACTTTGAACGGAGCTGCATATTTGAACGAAATTTGGTATACAGGGGGTTTTGAGCATAAGAAATCCAAGTCTGTCGTCAGGTTGTAGAAAAAAACACTTACGGCGATATCTGGGCAAAAAAAATGTTTCAACTTTTTGCTCACCCGGTATTCTGACTTCTAAGTTGGTTGCGTCTAATCGCCTATTAATTTTGTACAAAAACGGTATTCTTAGTCGATGTCCAAACAAGCCTCTGTTTCCGAGATATTTCCGATTACACCGTAAAATGCAGTATTTTCAAAAAATAAGCCACAATAAGTATCTAAGTGAAAAAATATTTACTAAACATCATTCTTTAACAGTAGGATAATTTTATCTTAATCACTAACAATAAAACATTCATATTCTACAGCAATTGCTCAAAATGTCCCCCGTTAACTTCAATACATTTTGAAATGCGTTTATTGAGGAATCGTCTAATTAAAAAAAACATATTTTCATTTCGAAATCGTTCGGCGGCCTTCATAATTTTATTTATCAACTCATCTCGGGTGCCTACCGTTTGATCGTACACTAATGATTTTAAATAACCCCAAATACAAAAATCTAATGGGTTAAAATCAGGATTTCGGGCCGGCCTAGCCCAAGAACTTCCACGACCTATCCACCAATTTGTAAAATGTTGGTTTAGGTAATTACTAACGGCTCTAGCAAAATCGTCCTCTAATAAATTCTGTACCGGCGTAAAATGGCAAGGATGGAGATTTTCTTGCTGAAAAATCGTATGAACTGAAGGCTTGCTTACGCCAGTTGCAGTTTCCAATCGTCTTGTGCTTATTTCTGGATCGTCTCCAACACGAACCAGAACGTCTTTCTCTTGATCTGGAGTTGAAATTTTTGGGCGTCCCAAGATATTAACTTTGGTCCTAAAGTTTCCCCTAATGGACGGTAGATGTCTCCGAATAACTTGAAATTCGGTTGCCTCCTATTGGGATACAATTCTATGTAACGCAGTTTGGCACTGCTTCCACTAAAATTTTGCTCGACTAAAAAATTATGCCTTGGCATTTTAACTAATTGAAATCAAAACTTAAGTATGTAGTGGCACTAGTGTCACTTTGACAGGCACCAAGTAAATCCGTGTCGCTGCGTCACACTACTTGACTTCTAAGCTGGTTGCGTCTAATCGCCTATTGATTTTGTACAAAAAAGGTATTCTTAGTCGATGTCCCAACCAGCCTCTGTTTCCGAGATATTTGCGATTACACCGCACAATGCAGTATTTTCAAAAAATAAGCCACAATAAGTATATAAGTGAAAAATATTTACTAAACATCATTCTTTCACAGTAGGATATTTTTATCTTAATCACTAACAATAAAACATTCATTTTCTACAGCATTGCTCAAAATGTCCCCCGTTAACTTCAATACATTTTGAAATGCGTTTATTGAGGAATCGTCTAATTTAAAAAAACATATTTTCATTTCGAAATCATTTGGCGGCCTTCATAATTTTATTTATCAACTCATCTCGGGTGCCTACCGTTTGATCGTACACTAATGATTTTAAATAACCCCAAACACAAAAATCTAATGGGTTAAAGTCAGGACTTCGCGCCGGCCGAGCCCAAGAACTTGTAAAATGTTGGTTTAGGTAATTACTAACGGTTCTTGCAAAATCGTCCTCTAATAAATTCTGTACCGGCATAAAATGGCAAGGTTGGAGATTTTATTGCTGAAAAATCCTATGAACTGAAGACTTGCTTACGCCAGTTGCAGTTTCCAATCGGCTTATGCTTATTTCTGGATTTTCTCCAACACAAACCAGCACGTCTTCCTCTTGATCTGGAGTTGAAATTTTCGGACGTGCCAAGATATTAACTTTGGTCCTAGAGTTTCTCCTAATGGACGGTAGTTGTCTCCGAATAACTTGAAATTCGGTTGCCTCCTATTGGAATACAATTCTAAGTAGCGCAGTTTGGCACTGCGTCCACTAAAATTTTGCTGGACTAAAAAATTATGCCTTGGCATTTTAACTAATTGAAATCAAAACTTAAGTATGTAGTGGCACTAGTGTCACTTTGACAGACACCAAGTAAATCTGTGTCGCTGCGTCACACTACTTAACATGCATTGTAAAATGTCCTCACAATTCTGCATTTTGGAGTTAATAATCTAATTAAGCTTAAGTTAAGTTAAGTTAAGTTAAGTTAATAACTAATCGCAAATATATCGGAAACCGAGGCTTGTTGGGACATCGACTAAGCATACCGTTTTTGTGCAAAATTAATAGGCGATTAGACACAGCCAGTTTAATGGTCAGAATATCGGGTGACCAAAAAGTTAAAACCATTTTTTTGCCCAGATATCGCCGCAAGTGGCTTTTTGTACAAGTTGATCAAAATCTGATGGGATATTTGAATTTCGTATGCTCAAAACCCCCGCATACAAAATTTCGTGAAAATATGCAGCTCCGTTTAAAGTAGAATTACGAAAAACTGAAATTAAAATGTAACTTTGACGCCCTGTATGTCGGCAACCGTCAATTTTTGGACAAAAATAAGTTGTGTTAAATCATCATATTTTCAGCCCAGGAATCCGCCATTTTGTTTTGTGCCATAACTTTTGGGACACGCTGTATAAGCTAAGAGCCATATTCGATACCTATTGAATCCCTATTGAATCCCCCAAATGTTTAAAAAAATTGCGTTACTATTATAGCATTTATAATTTCAAGCATATAATGTAGAGATGAAGGTCAGAAAATGAATGCATCTTTCATGCTTAGAATAAATCGATTAATACAGATATTTACTACGCCTATGGCTACCAGTCAGGCGAGTTGGTTTTCCGATTAATTTTACTCTTTGATCGGTACCTACTTTTTGTATTTTCATCCCTACCACCTGCTTTATCATTGATAAATTGCCGATCCGTAAAATTTAATGTTGGTCCGAAACAAATTTATGAATGACTTGCTTGGTCTATTTATTAATGTATTTGGTTATAATCTTACTTTCTGCTTAATCTGACAAAAAACAGTGGGCTCCCTTTCACATGCAACTTTTTATTTTCAGTTGATTTTCCACAATTTCCAGGAAAATCGCATTTCCGCTCAACTTGCTATTTTACTCATTACGCAACAACAATAGTCAAACTGAGTCAAATTAAGGGCGTTTTGCATAAAAATGTATCGAAATTTCCTACATGAAGCTTCATACGCCCAGCGAACAGACAAATACATCAATTCCACATTAATTAATTCCCATTTTCGAAAAAGCGATTTGATGTACACTGCACGGCCCGAATATACAATGCATCATTTTAATATCAATAAGTAAATATTTAATTCCACATCGGTTGTGTGTTTCAATGTTTGCGCCAATCTAATCAAGCTGAAATGGCGCATTAAGCGCGCATTTTGTGCATGTTTCATAAATGGCACAAACTTTCCAAGTTTCCATCCTCCTAACACTATTAGAGACACTTCTAATATCCATTCGGCGTTAAGCGTAACGCGCAGTCTGCATCTTCTAATTTCCCGAATTATCAGCCAGGGCATTTGAACAAAGTTAGGAAACAAACTGTTATTAGTTTGAGGAACATTCCCTTAGCGCCGAGGACGCACTGAAGTAATTGCAGGATATTCCTGGGAGTGGAAATTGCTGTTTCAACTTTCAACTGAACCAACCCACATGCAACTGGTTCGAATCCCTAAATCTTCATTGGAATCATTGATGCAACAGCTCTATCCAGAAAAGGGCCAGACTCGTTTAACGACGCCTTTTCACTGCAGCCCTTCGAACCAAATGGTGCATAAAACCGATATAACTGCGCGTGTTGTTGTTGTGGTTGCTTGCAAGTTAGCCGAGAGTTTCCCATTTTAATATTTATCTGGAAACTATCAGCGCTTTGGGGCTCAGCAATCGGTTTGAAAGAGTGTTTCGCTTGTTCGATGGGCTGCAGCCAGATCTACCAGATAAATTGCTGGCTTTTCAATTTCTCTCGCTTCAGTTCGCATTTGTGCTGCAGTTGTTTTGCAGCCAGTTGGCATAAATGGCTATTCTCGTTATGGCTCCAATAAAGCTTATGAGAGTTCCAGGGGCATAAAATGGGAACGATGTCGACGCCAAGACAGAAAATTTCCAGTATTATTGGGCGCTTAACCAGCGTCATGTGCTTTGGTCGTAAATGGTTCGGTTAGTTGCTGATGGCGCTAGTAAATCCATCCAGTTTTGCCAAAAAGAAAAGGATTTTTGGCAAACATCGCCCGACCCATTTTGACGAGTAAATTTAAACCTTGATTAGTTAAAGATTTGGAAAAATAAAAGCCGGCGCAGCCGAGGAGTTATCGGCAAGTTTAGCAATATCGGTCGGTTTTAAATATCTCGACCTCCCGACGGCAACTCCCAACTCTCCCCAGAGTGCCGGGCATAATTCCAGATCGCCGAACTCCTGGGACAGGAAATACGATTTCTGTATCGAAGTTCATGTCGCTATTAATCAAAGCAAACTTAAATTACTTTTCCGTTTCCGTCTGTTAAATGTAAAGCGACCTCGCGGAATCGATGTTTGGAGTAATTTATTGCCGCTCCATCGATTTTCAGCCAGTTTTTTCGAGTTTTTCGCCTCGGAACTTACCTGTATGCGTCCTGTGGTGGGCCTTCAGATGGCTGCTCTTGCCGTACACTTTGTTGCAACCCTCGTAGGAGCACTTGTGCACTTTTCGCATCTGTCGCTTGCCCGATGTATTGCGCGACACCGACATTTTCTTCGTCCCGAACAGTTTGTCGCGCGAGTTCATTTTCTTCTCCATTTTGCTTCTGCTCAAGTGCACCGCCATCACCGACACTTTCCGGGTCTGTTTCTTCGGCTCCGGAAAATTTTCCGGGACTTCTGGTACTGGTTCCTGTTCGATCTGCTTCAGATCGGTTAGGATGCGGCTCACCATATAGCTGGACTTGGTTCCAGTGTCTTTCTGCTGATCTTCCTGCAGCTCCGGTTCTTTATGGGATAAATCCAGCGGCGCTGGGAATTGGTAGCGACCGTTTGCCAGCTGCACCAGGCATTGAGCCGCAAAGCTGATGTCGTCCATTCTTCCCTCTGTCTTCAGTCCATCCACCTGCAAATTTCGGACTTACAATCAATCGGGGTTCTGAGGGATGAAAACTGCCTCCCAACTTCCTATGGGGAGGCTGCTAAACGGCAAATTGGGCGACTCAAAGGGCGATAAAGTGGCGGGCCTATGCAGGCCGGAATGCCCATAAACCGTATTACTTTGCTGGCGACAAAGGCTTTCTTTTATGTCGCATTTTCTCATTTTGATAAAATCTTTTGTGAAAACTTTACATGTACATAATGCCGGCGGCCGGATGTTGGCACTGGTAGTTTCAGTCACATAAAGCCCGGTTTGCTTTATTGTCGTCACATTTTTAGGAGCGTATCGTCTGAATCTCTTATTACTGGGGCCTTTGAGGATGGCGCTTGCATTAGACTAGCAGCAACGTTACACTGTATCATGATAAGTGCAAGAATCGCTGGGAAAATGCACACATGATGGAGATGTTTTGTGTGGCCATTCCACGATTTCAAAGGAGTTCTAGGCAAAAATGTGAAAGCTTGGAAGCTGGCGCTATTAAACAACGATAACGGGGACTTTGATTCGAATGTGCCGGAAGTTTTATGGGATTGAGCAGATGGGGCGATTTTTAGAGATTTTTTAAAATAAATGATTTTATGGTGTTTTATAGAGCAAATATATTTTTAATTTATAAAGCATTGGGTTTGTATGCGGGAGAAGTTTTACTGCGATCGGTTCTAGAGCAAGTTTTGGGAAATTTTCAAAATTGACTCTATCATTTTCTCATTTGCTTGGCGCCACAGTAGATTTTTTAAACTTGTCTCACTTCGAATTGTGGAGCGGTAGAGAGGCGACTTGTTCACTTTTCGATAGAGCGACGGTCAATCTTTTTCGATAGAGCGAGCATCAGGCTATATTGGTGGATATTTTGATAGAATGGAAGTTATAATTAAATTTTTGCGGATTTCAGAAGTTTGGTTTTCAACTGGCAGAGCTCATACATTGGTTTCTTACGAATTTTAAAACCAAAACTCGGCGTTATTTGTGCCAACAGTTTGCGTGAGGTCCCTAAAAAAAGCCAGTTTTGGGAAATTTCCAAAAATGGCTCAAACATTTCCTCGTTTGCTTGGCATTACAGGTCCTTCTTAAAACATCAATTTCGCAGAAATTTACAAAGATTGCTCAGTTTTCATTGGCTGATGACCGCAGTTGGGCTCGATATTCGTGCAAAGCTTCCTTATGGTAATTTACTTTTTGTTGGTCGATAAAACACAGAATCGCATAAAAATTTGCACGGACTTTAAGATGGAATGACTTTAAAATGTCTCAAGTTGGAACATTCGTGTTCACCGTCGATGATAAGAAAATGAAAGCACGAAACGTTGACCAAGCTTCTTCAATAAGAACGTAAAACGTGAATTGTGACGAATTTTTGAAAGCGGCTCAATATCTTGCCGTACAGAGAGCAGATATTTTGCAAATAATTGATTACCCTAGACCCCGTTAAGTTAGACGACCCGCTAGCCCAATTTTTTTAAACGACTCAACTTTAGGCTGGTATTTTTTAAACATAAAAGCTTCAAAACCAAAAACTCCCGACCTACAAAAAAGCAAAGTTCTTCAATTAAATCGCTGCACTAGTCCTAGTCGTTGTTGTTATCTGTACAAACGATTCCGCAGCAATAGAACTGGAGGTCGGGCTCTAACGGCGCCTTTTCAAAAAAAAAATGAGTTGTATAAGAGGGCCCATTGTCAGGGAACTTTTCCCATTATATGGAAGTTTTGCCGCAGAAATTCCAGCACGAGAAATCGTTTAGCGAAAAAGAACTCTTTGAAAATACATGGCACCGGAACGGCGTCGATGACTGCCGCCGAGTTCTTTGTGTGTGTTTGCGCGAAAGTCGAGCCTGGCAAAATCACATTAAAAATTGCTTGAGATTAAATTAATTTCGTTGATTTGAGTGAATTTTTGCACCGCTAGGATTCGATTAAAGGCAATGTGAGTGTTGATGGCTCTTAATATTGCCGATCAATCGAAGCGTTGCAGCCAAAGCCGCACAGCAATGGCAAAAGCAAATAAAACCCTTATCAGTATTCAGCACGATCTCCATCATTCGCTACGTGCCGGCAAAACCACAAATCACAGACAAAAACTATCAGACCGAAAAACAAGCCACCTATCAGCCGATGCCGGATCAAATAATTTATGAACCCTCAGGTTTGCCGCATTCAAGCAAGCGAAGATTAATGAAAAGAACACACCAGCTAACCGTTGTTGTTCTTGGAGAATCTGGATAAGGAAAAAGCAGTTTGTGGCAAACGAGCTCTAATTTTCATAACTTAACGGTGCACGATTTACCGTTTGTTTTCCTATGGGATTTCAATCACGTCCATTTAGGTGATTGCCTTATCATTAGCGTACCTGATGCAGATCTGAGTGGTGAAAATGTGGAAAAAATTAGCGCAAACCCGTTAAGAAGTATCTTCAGCTAGCGATCATCATTGGCACCAAACTGAGAAACATTTCAGAGCACAACTGAACATCCTCAAAGCGATAACAAGAGCCGCAAAGCTCTGGTTCCGTTGAGGGCATTCAACATGTAAGGAGGCGTAACTGTGGCAGGAGACGCAAACCTTCCGTCTGCTCGCAACAAGTTATCCGGAGCGAACGCGCCGGCACACTGCTGGATGGCGAACTGGACGAAGGAATCAACCCCTCCTATTTGTATTCCCACCTATTCCCCGTATTGCTCTCTGAGCTTTCTGCTTATTCAGAATTAGCTTTGCCGAAGAGTTTATTGTATTAGTGGCGCACCTGCGGCACTGGCTGCAGCCCGTTTTAACATTCTCAAGAAGCAACTTCTTCGGCCTTAATTAATTTCCTTGGAGGAAGCTCGTGCTGCTTGCCTGGTTTTATTGTCGTTATAAATTTCAGGTCGTTTTCCACCCGGGGGATGTTGTTGCCGACTCTCCAAACGGCCAGGTGTGGACGAAATGGGTTGTTCTTCTGTCTTTGAGGCTTCTGCCTCATTTGGTTTCCGCTTTTTGGAACGGCGATTAAATTTGAATGCGTTTGTCGTTGGCTTGAAATCAGTTTTGGGTCATCTGCACTGCAGGGCCAAATGTTTACAGTTGAACTGTTTTTTTATAGTGAATTATAGCCAAAACGATGCTTTATATGCGGGAGGAATTTTGTTGACATGAACCAATAATGTAAATTTTGCCACTTTTTCCAAAGTTTGTTCCGACTGTTGCAAATGTCTGGTATTACAGGCCAGTTTTAAAAATTGATTTACTCGGATATTTCATAAGATATAAGACCTATTTTTTCGCTGTTAGATAAACAAGGCATCGCCCAATATATGGGCAACGTTTAGTGAGGATCAGCGGAAGAATTAATCTTTGTGGAAATTTATAAAATCAACTTCACTATTGTCCATCTGCAGGGCCGGATTGTTGTCAATTGGGGCGTACAAGAAAACGTGTTAAGCTTTGATGTTGGTTGATGCGCGGTTCTATAGAGTTGGCTTTCATCGAATTGAATGATAGGTTTCATTGAAAGGGGCCAATGATGCGTTTTGTGGCAAATTTCCAAAATTGTCCCAATTTCAGAGATAATTTAACATTAATCAACTCATGTGTTTAGTACTTCAGTCTTTTTTTAAATTAAAATCCTCGAAAATTCCCTACAATAAAGAGTTTTATTTTAGACTGTTAAATAGGTCCAATACGATTTTATATTTGCGGAAGTATAATGGAAGCAATCGGCTCACTAAATTTTTGATGAATTTTTTGCCTTTAGGCCTTCTTCAGAGTACGGATTGCTTCAAACTTGGCATATGTTAACATGTCCAAAAATTGTAATATGGATCTATATTATTTTGTTAATGCAGAACTGCAGTTTTTTGAGCGGAGCAAATTAACCAACTTTTGGCGAATTTTCAAAATGCCTCTTTCTCGGAGAACATGTTTTCATGTGTCTGGCACTACAGCGGTTTTCAAAAATCAATTAATTGACCGCTGGGAGACATTAATAGTTGATTTTTTTGCATTTAATGACCAAAATGTAGATCGACATTTGAGAATAGTTTACTGGAAATGTGTACATCGCTCAGTTTTTGGAGAAGCTTTGAAAAATCTATTTGGCCATCTGCAGAAATGCGTTTTATCAATTAACATGTGCTTTAATCTACGATACGCTGCACCATTTTTTTATTCAGTTTTATAGATAAAATGCAGTTTTGTATAAGAGGATGGCAAATTTTCAAAGAGACTCTATTAACTTTATTTAATTTTTTGGAATTTCAGTCCGTTTAAAAAATCGTTATGCTCCAGAGGAAGAACAAATCGAAAGCCTACTTTCCACTATTGAATAGAGTTGAATAGAGCAGCATTTTTTTCAAATTATCGCCTGCTCTTCATTGCGTCAAGCTGCCACATTGATTTTAGCTAAATTTAAAAAAAGTGTGGTTTTATATAATAGCTAAGTTTTAAGTTTTTTTAAGTTGAGCTTATTATTTATAAAACTTGCGATAATTTTTCAAAGTACCTGTGATTTCGCATCAAAATTTATTCAATTGTCTGGCATTACAATCTGATTATAAGAATTAAATACACTAGAAGAAAAAAAGTTATAGAGCACATTTTTTTATATTCGCTGGGCAATAGGCTGATCTATATTTGATGTAAGTTGCATGCGGGTGGAGGTATGACGGTATTTTTGGCGAACAACTTCGACCTTTGCCTAGCATCAGAACAGGTAAATTTTCAGTTTTCAAATACTCCAAATGACATACAAATGAGAAGCTCCGAGTACGAATGAGGAGTTTTATGTGCGTTTATGCGTAAAACCTGGCTTTCAATAATAGTAAAATTTCTTTACACTGGGTCAACAGTGCAAGATGTGACAAATTTGCAAAAATGCCTTATAACAAAACTCGCATGTCTGGCGTAACAAGCATTTCTCCAAACTTCTCTTACCGCAAAATTTGCATAGATAGAGAATTGCCGTTTTCACCGTTTTTCGACCAAAAGGTGGTTCTAGATTTGTTGAGAGTTCAATGGAAATCAAATTATAATTCCAGTTTCGAAAAATTTCCAAATGCGACTTCATGACTGTTCATTGGTTGTAAGTCGGACAAATTGTTCAGTGTTTAGAAAAATTCATTCAGAATTCAATTGTGATTTTTTCAAATGGGATTCTAGTTGTGCGGTTTTAATCCAGCGAAAAAGCCGCTTGGCATGTTACTCTTTCAGAAATATTACTTTCCATGAGACCACAATAGGCGCATTCTTACCCGTAATGGAAACAGCGGCGAATATAAAATGCCGGCCCATTACTTGGGCATGATTATTACGGTTTTGAAAGGGGGACTTTTGCCTAAAAATGATATGCCCTTATTGCTGGCAGGTAGCTTTCCCTGATTAATATAAGGACGTTTTGAGGAGGATTTCTCTGCGCTGTTTCCCCAATGTCTCAACGATTAAGGCCGATTCGGTTTCACCTCTTGGACCTTGTTGGTCATTTATCATCCTGATGGGATGTTCGAAACGTGGAAATTCGTGCGCTAATTTCCTTTAAACCAGCCGGGCGACATTTTATTTACTCCAGACAAACTCACGAATTTGTCCGAGCACGCTCCTTTGCCCATTTATGTGGGAAGTTCGTTCGGTTTAGTTCAATTTGAGCCTATTTATTACATCCTTTTTAAGGAAATGGACGTATCCGAAGGCGATAAATCTTCTCGGTAGCCCTTTCAGGGCCCCTCGCCCAAAGCTGGAATCTCATTTGGGAAATGGATACCATAAACTCGACTTGTTTCTGAGGTTTCGGCGTTTTTCCTGCCGGCCCCGATGAAAAAAATGAAAAAAAAACCACCCTCGATAAAACATTCACGAAATTCAGCTTCTCCTAACAGTTACGTGTGTCCGCCAATCACTTACAAGGAAATTGGTTATTTGGGTCCCCAAATGGCAATCCTGCATAGCTGATATTTCCCCGTTCACCTAGGAAGGTTTCCGGATTAACTGCAATTTCAATAGACATTTTCTAGGATTTTTTTTCAACTATACGTACGTTTCGAATTGCTGTTGACCCGAGAATCCGGCCAGTTTTCCAGGCTCGTGAAAATCATTCGACAGGCGAGTGTTTTACGGCACGACAATAAAACGAGGGCAACACGATAAAAAGATGAAGGCGCTCGCCGGGCTTTGTGAAGAAAACTTTAGAAAGATATCGGAAAAGTTTCCTCTAAACCTAATTTAAGTTCAAAGGGAACCGGGCGAGCCTCAAGAAATGTTTTCGATGCCACATTTTAACTGAATCCATTGGAGAAAAGCTGCAAATCCTCCCATCATCCAGAGGAATGTGCCTTTGATGAAACTGAGCATTCCAGCTCCAATTAGCCTCCACGTGCTTAATCCTGGCTGATAACACGAAGACACTGAGGCACAACTACTATCACTTTGAATGGCTTATTCAGACGAAAGTGCCAATATAAGGGAGCCGCAGACATGTCGATTGAATTAAATTTGGCTCGACCTCGTTCCCTTTTTCCTCTTTCTTTGATATGGCGTTGGTCGATGGATCGAACTGTGTCACGTGGGATCCGGAATGCGCCTCTCTCCAGCATTTCATCGAACAGTGCGTGCTTTGCAAGGGGAATTTCCTATTGAAAAGCCTGTTGAAAACCCGCTAACGTCTCAAAATAATGTCGATTTTTTTATCAATGAAGGATTGGTGCGCCCTCTCTTTCTAAATCAGGAATTGGAAGGAAACAGGTTTGGTATGGATGAATTGATTTCTAGATGGTCGTCAACCAGCCATGTTGGCCATTTTTGCCACCGGAATTTGATTATTTTTTTCAAAAATGTCTGGAAATTTCTTAGAGGTCAAGATTTTATCTTTCTAACCAATAAATCCGCCAGTCTCTATCTCTGTTGGTTTGCGGTTGGCAACCTCTGTCCTTGTTTTCGTCAGTGATCTTTGCAACCGATGCAAGGTTTGCTTAATTTTTTTTTTATTCCTGATGATGACCTGCTAAAGAGGTTTTTCGGTATCACGCTGCAGGTTTTGTCTTTTGGATGCACAAATCGGGAAGCCTCTCTCTTCTTTGGTTTGGTGTTAATTAATTTTTGAGTTTGAAGCTCTAGAGATTCGTTTAAGCGTCCTATAGAGATTGATGTTTCAGAAAATTCCTGATCATTCCATGAAAGCGAGACTTTGAACTCAAAAGCAGCAGGAGACTTTGTCTCATTGCAAAAATATTCAAGTCTCAAGACTCTGTTGGTCTACTTAAAATTAATTTTGGGCGTGGGCGCTTAGGCTGGATGGCAATGATGCCTTTGTTTAAAAATCCCCTAAGTTATCATCACAATGAGTTTTTGATTATAAAGAGTCATCTAAGTTTATAAATAAATATCTACATAAAGAGATAGATAAATCTTTGAAAAGAATTTGCTGTTGTAAACTGCACATTAAGACCGCCAACGCGGGGACAATAATGGAATTACTCAATAAAGCTTCACTTGCGAAATCCATTGCAGAATCCAAAACAGTCCATTCTGGAAATATTGCAATTAACCTGGATATACCGACAAATGAAATCGGCAACTCGATGCACGCACTAAATCAGCAATTATTATCGTTCCGGAAACAAGAGGATTTATGAGCGATTTT